TGAGGAGCAGATTACACAGCGGGGAATATATAGTGAACTCAGTTAACAGATGATCACTACTTTTTGCTCCATTGGTCCTCCTTTTCCACGCGGTACCTACGCCATCTTTGTTATTATTCGCCGCCGTCTGGTAGCGACAGCCGGCCGCTGTGACAGCAAATCTTATAATGCTTTGAGAGGAGATCTCTGTGCGCAAAGCATTCTGGGATATATCTCCCTATGAGGCCTTTCTTTCCTTCTCATAAACTTCGTAGACACTTTTTCTCTTCCGACTCTCTGCCATTTTTAAAGAACCGCGGTGAGAAAGGTGAGCTTTAATGACTGAAACCGTAGCTCACCACAGATATACGCCTGAAAGAAAAAGATAGCTAACGGGACAGCCGTACGTTAACGTATCGCCAGAATGACTGACAGGTAGGAGGACCACTTATTTAGATGATCCACCCGGAAATATAAACAAACCTTTAAAGGAGAGTAGAAAAAATCTATTTTTTTTTTAAATCTTTCGGCTGGTTAGAAATGGTGACCATGAGGAAACTCCAGGTTCAAAACTAGATCTGAGCAAAAAGAGCTGAAATTTTTGTTTACACTTCCTGAAACAGCCTCTCTGTAATCTCTAAATGTTCAGGGGAAATAATCTGATTCCTCTGGTCATTTTACCATCCAATCAGCAGTGGAACATTTAATGGTCTGAACAATGAACTCTACTCTCCACCACATGGTCTGTCCGAATAATCTCTGGCCATCAGTTTGGAGCTCAGGAACACCTGGGTTATGCAACATGACAATAATCCAAAAAACCAAATGAAGACTTAGTTCTGGTCGGATTCTGGAGTGAAATCGGATCCTGACTCTATGATACGTCTTTAAACCCGATTTAAAAGTCTGTTTTCTGTCTGAATCTGAACTTTTTAGCAAAGTGTTGCTCAAATTTCCTCCAAAGGGATTTTCTAAGTGGAAGTTTATCGTTTTCTCATATTAACATTTCTTTAAAAACGTGAAACAGATTTCTTTTTTTTACAGCATGTTACTTTATCTACAGCTTTAAAGCTTGTTGTGTTTAACCAGCCCAAACCTAAACGTGTCTGCTTTGTGTAGGACTGCAGGAAGCCTGGGTTTGAGGTGAGGAACCGGCTGCTCTACTTCCTCTTCCTCATATCGGCCGGTCTAGGACACGAAGTCTTTTACATCACCTGCCTGCCCTGCATCCACTGGAATCTGGATCCGTTCCTCTGCCGCCGCCTCGTCAACATGTGGACCGTAAGTTTCGTCCATAACCTCTGGACGTTGATCTCAGAGCCTCCGGGATGATGTCCCTCTCCTTCACAATGCCCTCTTTCTTCTCGCCGTCCCTCAGTCTCCTTCTCTTCACCTTTCAACCCCCTTTTATCCTTCCAGTGACCCGTCTCTGACACCGCCAAGGCCGAATGTCCCCAGGCTCATAGGCAGGGACACAGGGGCCAGTCTGGCCAGGGCCCCTGACACACTAAGAGGCCACATATGAGGACACGTTTGTGCCAAAAGTCTGCTTGGATCTCTGTTTTAGATGTTTATCTTGACAGAGTCGAGCCCTGTATGTCAGGAGAGCCTGAAAACATGTCAAACCCGACCGCTGCGGCAGGCTGGGTGACGTTTTCAGCCGCAGCCCCGCTCTCCCACAGTGTGTGTGATGGGCAGCGTGTTTTTCTGCCCTTTATGTCTCTGCCCCAAGCGCTCGCTCAGTGGGTGCCCTGTGTCTGAACCTCTTGTTTGGCCCCCCCGGGGGGGAAAGCTACCATTCTTCTGGCGTCCTGGCTGGACTGTGGCCCCATGTGAACTCCTTTCAAACACCCACATAAACTCCAACACACACATACTGTCAGTCTGTGCATTGCCTGCTAAACACACTCATAACCCCCCCTCTAGTTAGGCATTACCAGCTACACTTTGTAGAGGGTTTTATTGGCCCCCATCAGCCTTTAAGCTTTCCTTCTCTGTATCGGCCATTTGCTCCGTCTGCCCTTGGGGGTGCACCCCCCCTGCACCTGTGGCTTTGCTATTGTGTGGCTGGAGGTAGCTAATGCTACGTTCAGACCGCACGCTGCAGAGGAGGCAGAAGCAGCTGGTTTACATGAGAAGTCAACGGTTGAAGCGCATCAAGGCGCTCCATTAAAGGTTCAGTTTCAAAGGCGGGACTAACATCAAAGGATACAGTTAAGAACCAATCAGAAAATCTAAAATATCAACAACAAAAAAAATAGTATTCTTGACTGTTTGTGGGTCGATCTGTGTTCGAGCGGAGAGTATCGAGTCTTAGCAGACAGACTCACTCGGTTTGCTCCCTTTGCCCCCCCCCCCCAATTGATTTTTAGTGACCCCTTTATAGGGGTGGGTATTGGCAAAGAAGTCATGATTCGATTCGAATCCCGATTCACATGCCACGATGCGATTCTATCACGATGCATCTTGATACTTGAAATATTGCGATGCGTTGTGATATTTTCACTGAACACTGTAGGAAAAAGATCCAGCCATTGGGTGTGATCTGGATCGTGTCTTCAATTGTTACATAACTGAATTCATACATAGCTGTATTTATTGAAACGACTTTTGGAGGTGTTGCCATGGAAACAAATACTGGACGGAAATATTACTATTACTGGCGTGGACACACTGACAAAAAGATCTTAGGATTCATCAAACTTAAAATAACAAAATAAGGATAATCAGAGCCGTTTACATGGCCTCAGTGGTCCTTTAAACCAATGAAACGAAAACATTCAAATGTATATTTCCCCTTTTGCAAATGACGAGCATCATATCAATTTCATTTTTACCTTCTTTGTTTTTAAAGCCAAAATGCATCCAAGCATCTGACTTGAAATGTGATGGAGCCGCGGGGCGAATTTTCATAGTGTCCTCCATGTTTTGTCTATGAATGACTCATCGCAGTATCCCGTGGCCGGAAATGCTTGTGACACAAAGCAGCGGACGTCAACACATCCGCAGCGACATCTGCTGGACTGGAAGTTGTATTCCACTTGATTTGGCTGATGTGCGCCAACCATTAATGTATTTTATTTGTTCTTTTTTTTTTTTATAATCGATTCTTGCCTTCAAGAATCGATGCAGTAGATCACAAAAATTAGAATCACGATGCATCGTCATGACGATTATTTTGCACACCCTTACTCCTTTAATAGAGGGGCAGATTTCTGCAGCTAAGTTGCAGGTGAAATATGAATACTTGGCGTCAAAAACAAACAGTTTATCTAGTCCTGTAACCAGAGGCAGATTTAGGAAATGTGGGGCCCTGGACGAAGACAATCAGGGGGCCCACTGAATTGAGAAGACACATAAAACAGATCAGGAACCAATTCCATCAACATGATGAGACACAAGAGAATTGACTCAAAACAAATTAATTTAAAATCATGAAGTCCATTTCTAGCTCGCCATCTTCAGATCCAGATGAGGATCTGATCCGACAGGGAAAAAAAAAAAAAACAGACCTAAAAAGGTCAGAAAACCCATCAAGTTTTTTTTTCTAAAACAGTTAAAGCAAATATAATACAAAGGAAACAATAATTTTAAGCATTTAATTTATGCATGCTAAATGCAAATGCAATAATTATATTTCTAATAATTAGACAGATTTCAAGCAGGTTAAATTAACCATAATTCAAATAAAGTAAAACAAAAGAAAGTGTATTTAAAGCTTAATCCATTTAAAGATAAAGTGCACTTTCAAATTATCAATCAAGATAAATAAAACTAATTAATTGTCAAATACTCAAGCAGGGTGAAAGAAAGGAAAAATTAAATATACATACTGTGCAATATCAGCTTAAGTGTAGCTACGCTGTTCAGATCAATCTTAAATGCTTCGGAATCGCGGTAAACGAGTCAAACGCACAAAATTCAACAAGCAAGTTACCTTTTCAGAGACTAAACCCCAATCAGCTCTGGCAGAATCCCAGCGACGGTCCAGGTAAACAATGCCAATGATTGTAATAAAACAACGCTCTAATGAGCAATTAAACAGAAGGAAAACTAATACTGCATCAAATAAACTCACCCAGCAATAAATTCAATAGAGTTAAAGATGAATGCATGGAGATGACATCAGCAGAAAACCACGATCACAGTGGAAACAGGTGAGGATCCTTAACTGCATGTTTGAGGCGGGGCTTTGAAGAGGCTAATATGGGCGACACAGGAAGTGGCCTGAAAAAATAAAAGTCTCTTGCTCTGTTCGAAATCCTGGGCTGCGTCCTTAGAAGGCCAGATTCGAAGGACGATGACGTCATAGCGCGGCGCCGAGGTCTGGTCGGATTCCAAGAGTCCTCGTTATGCGACCTTAAAATGCGTCCTTCTATCCTCGGATATCCCAGGATTCATTGCGAGTCCAAGCAAGCCGTGATCAGAGGGAAGGTTACTTGGCGCCGAACAGTGGTGAAAATTGGAAGTGCAGTTTAATATAATACAAATCAGTGAATAGTTCCGTCTGAAATGAATGAAAATAGTTGTTTTTATGGTTATTGTTAAAAAAAGTGTAATAACCCAAACCTTATGCGATCACCATGCAGTGCCTCTGTGGACCCCCAGGGGTCGCGGACCCCCTGTTGAAGACCTCCGGTCTAAAGGTTTCAATGGGGTGGGAGGGGCAGTAAAATTTGCTCCATACACTGCAAAAAAACAAAATCTAGATAAGTCATTTTTTCTTAAAATAAGGACATTTGTTCTTGAATTGAGGAGGTAAAAGACACATTTTGCCAATGGAACAAGACAATTTACATTTAAAATAAGAAAACACAATTACATTGTCTCATTTCAAGTGCATATTATCTAATTATCTTATTTTAAGAGTAAAATTACTCATTCCATTAGCAAACTATCTCATTTACCTACTCAAATTAAGGGTGAATACACTTAATTTAAGAAATTTTTACTTATTTCTAGATCGTTTTTGCAGTGTAGTAGTTTTCAGTTAAGAAAATGACATCAGTTAGCCGCCATGTTAGCCATTTAATTTCTATTTTGACGGGATGGGATTGGTCGGAACGGTAAACTAACAAAGAACCGGTCATCTGTCTTTCTCACCTCAGATCAGCTGATTTTCTGTCTGAGTTTCACTTTTCAATCATTTTATTTATTCTGTTTTTCTAATCCAGTTTAAGCAGGATCATTTATCAGTCAGTTGAAATTCACCAACCAGACCTGGATCTTATTCACCTTCAATCACCTGATAATCCTGCTTCTATCACCATGTTATCAATTAACTTCAGCTATTTATTAATTATCTGCTTATTTTCTGCTGGTTCTACCTGCATCATGAAAGATATGATCGTCTCCAGCCTCACTGGAAAAAAAATGAAGTCTAAATAAGTCATTTTTTCTTAAAATAAGTGTATTTGTTCCTGGATTGAGGAGGTAAAAGAGACATTTTGCCAATGGAACAAGAGAATTTACACTTAAAATAAGAAAACACAATTGCATTGTCTTATTTTAAGTGCATTTTATCTAATTATCTTATTCTAAGAGTAAAAATACTCATTCCATTGGCAAATTATCTCATTTACCTACTCAAATGAAGGGTAAATACATTTAATTTAAGACATTTTTACTTATTTGTAGATCGTTTTTCTAGTTTATAATGGAGATTAACTCCTTAGAGCTCTTTGATGATGATTATTGTGGCTCAGAAACCTTTTTTTAACGGATGCAGGAGCCATAATGATAGCTGAGCTTGTGTTTGCGTCACGTGGGGCGTAGTTGCTGTGGTGACACACGTGGTGACGGCTGATTACTTAAATGGGCGTGTTTACCTGCACTCTGCAGGAGAGGGAGGGGAGCGGACCGTTTGCTTTAGCATCTAAATGTTACATCATGTCCTTAACGTTACAATCTGTTGTGAGTGACTTTATAAGCTACTGGACGGCATTAAAACACCAAAAACATAATCCTGGATTCCGTGAGCATTTCTGACCAAGATGGCGACGCTTCATAAACATACAGGACCCTTTCTCTACCTCAACAAAGATTGCTATGGAGTCGCTACAACTGATTTAACATTATTGAGCAGCAAAGGTTCATAAATGTAGAAACTTATAATCTAATCTGCTCCTTTATGATGTCGCTGTGATGGAAGCTTCTCTTTCTGGCCCAGCTTCTCTAAATAAACGCCCAGACAGCCTGATCCACGCGTGTAAAGATCAAAGTGTGAAGCTGCTGTCGCCTCGATCAATGCACTTATTCACAAGGTCAGACGGCCTTCAGCGCGTCCCTCGGTGCCAGCAGACGGCCCCTGGGTCGGGCCCTTAGATGTGGATGTCACAGAGACACCAGGAGGGGGGGTGAATTATCATTGAAGCACAGCTAAATAGGTCTGTCTGTTTTCTGTCAGGTGATTTGCATTAAATGTCATTATTTTAAATTCT